TTGATGGTGCCAATGATTATTACCATATCACACCATTAAACCAGATGTTTCTGTGCTGACAGAAGCCAAGGCACCTGCACTCGGGTTCTTTTCTCATTCTATAAGCAGCGACGAGACTGGGATTCATTTCACCATTCTTCTCAGATTTCCCATGTTCTCTATAGATCAATTTCAGTTTCCCTACCTCTTCCCCATCCATTAAAAGGGCAGGCGAGGGAATTAGAGATAGAAGGAGGAGGAGGAATAGGACAGAAGAGAGTCTGGGGAATTAAAAATTTAAGTTTAGGATTTATGTTCCTTTTAAATATCTTTAACTAGGTAGAGAAATAATCACTGCATTAAAATGGTGAACATTTTAATTCCTAGATTATTATTACCCCTTTGTCCTTCCCTGAAGCCCTGTTCTTCCCTAGTCCAATCATCAGAAGGATTTCATTTAGCAGTCAGTGAATGGGGGTCGACTCGGAATGTACGATTCATCCCAAGTCAATGCGCTTCTGTACAATGAAGACACCCTTGCACTCCATTGGCCTTGGAAGAGAAAGAGCGTGAGAAAGAAGACACAAAGAACGGAGTCTGGGAACATCCTCTTTATGAGAGACTCTAACGAAAGAACACAGACCCTGCAGTTAGCTTTTAAAGTCCCTTGAGCTTCTGGAGACCTCTGGCTGTCAGGTTAATCGTCTCCTCCAAACCTATCCACTTTGGGTCCTGATCAGAATTTTCATTTCTGACCCAGACCTAGCCATCCATGTCATGTGGATCAAATGGTCCTGGACAAGTATCTTAGAGAGACCTTCAGACAAGCCAAGTCCCAGAGCCACGGGTAATAATAAAGTTGGTTGGTGCAGCATGCAGTGAGTGAGGGAGACAACATAGAACAGAGTTCTTCTCTGTCCAGGAATTCCCTCTCCCGGCCATCAGGTGAGTTCCAACTCATAGTGACCTTCCAGGACAGAAGAGAACTGTCCTGGTGGGTTTCCAGGACTGTAACTATTTATGGGAATAGACAGCCTCATCTTTCTCCCTCAGAGCAGCTACGAGTTTCAAACTGCTGACTTTGTGGTAGGTAGCCCCACGAGTAACCAGTTCTTGACACTGCCCTAGAAGTGAACAACTCTTGTATTCCTTTGGTGTGAGTTCCATGGGGAGGTCTTGGTCATCAAAGAGTAGCCAGCCATCGACCAACATTCTTTTTCCTTCTTTCAACTTAGTAGAGTGACAATGATTGGGAGGTGTGGAGAGAGAGTGGAGCAGAAACACAGTAGTGTTAACTGCCAATATACCTTCTTTCATTGAGTAGTGAGAAGTTTCAGGCACATTTTCTTTTCTTTCTTTATTTTTTTCAGGCACATTTTCTTAACCACCTCTAAAGACCCTAGATTTCCAAAGCAAAATCAGAACTTGAAATGTAGGTATACAGACTTGTCAAATAGTTTTCTCCATGAAGATCTTATTCATATTACCATTTAAAATATAACTCCCATCTGTCACGTCCTCCCTCTTCACGGATGCACTTTCACTCTCATCACCTTGCTATTCTCCACTTTTAACAACCCTTTAGAACACTGGTCAGTATACTTAAGGGTATCAGTATATCATAGGGAGAAATTGCAAGTGCTCCTTTCTCTTGCTGTAGGTCAGTGGTTCTCAACTTTCCTCATGCCACGAGCCTTTAATACAGTTCCTCATGTTGTGGTGAACCCCAACCATAAAATTATTTTCTTGCTACTTCATAACTGTAATTTTGCTACTGTTATGAATTGTAATATAAATATCTGATATGCAGGATGTATTTCCATTGTTACAAATTGAACATAATTAAAGCATAGTGATTAATCACAAAAACAATATGTAATTATATATTGTGAACTATTGATTTATAATGACAAATAAATGAAATTTTGTCTTGAAGCATGATGTAGCATGGGTACCAGTCTTCACGCTGGGTACTTGTAGGGGGCCATATCTGCATGTGGGCGGACCCGCCTGGAGACCGATAGAGGAGCGGTGTTTTGGTTCCTAAGACTATTGGAAATATGTGTTTTCTGATGGTCTTAGGTGACCTCTGTGAAGGGGTCGAGAACCACTGCTTTAGGTGTATGTGAGTTTGGACCTTTTCATGTTGGGTTAGCAAGGGGAGGGGCTTTGCATCTTCCAGAAAAGCTTCTGTAACTATATTCGCCCACAATGAATGTTCTGCCTCTTGGGCAACTCTGTGGTGCCAAATAGAGTGCCAGCCTGAGATTCTTAAGGCCTAGCTCTGTCAGGACTGTGTGAGCTCAGGGTTATCACTCAAGAACTCGAACTCACTGCAGCGACTCATTTCTGACTCATGGCAACCCTATGGGACAGGGTTGAACTGTCCCTGTGGGTGTCCGAGATGGAGCAGCTGGTGGTTTGAACTTGATCCTGCAGTTTGCGGCTGATCACATACCCACTATGCCACTGGGGCTTCTCAGAGGGTCCAAGCAGAAAAGGGATCCGGAAGAGGGTCTGTTACTAGAAGTTGTAATGCATTGCTGACTGCTTGCTGATTAAAACACATCATGTTCGAGATGTCCCATATGCAACTCATGGTCTTTTCTTCTACCTCAACCAACCTTTCCACTCTCAGCTCCCCTTGCTGTGGAAACAGCACCATCTTCTATCCAGAATCCTGAGCATCTTCCTCAACTCCTTCTTACTCCCTACATCTGAGCACATCAATCATTCCGTTCATAAATATTACTCCAGTCCATCCCACCCTGTCCTACACCCACTTCTACAAGCAGTTCAAACACATCCGTACCCACTTCAACCACAGATCACTGGAATCAGTCTTTGGATCAGCTTTCCCTGGTCTCTAGTGTAGCTATCACTCAATCTAGCCCTTACCCGTCCATCCAATTCCATCTTCTACAACCAAAATTTGATAATGCCACTTTCTTGCTTAGAACTATTTGTTTCTCGAGTTTTCAAAATGAAGTCCTGGCTCTCTAGTCCTATGCCTTCCTAGATCTTGTCCCTAAAAACTTTTCCAGGATCATCTCCAGTTCCTCTTAGGAAGCCAGCAATGGTGAAAAGGAGTCAGATCTACCATCCCCATGACTGCTGTGCTTTTGTTCTGATCTGTTTGGGCCCTGACGAGCCCTGGGGGCGTAGTGGTTATACGTTGGGCTGCTCGAACCACAAGTTCAAAACCACTAGTCTTTCCCCCAGGCAAAGCATTTTCACCTTGGAAACTCACCATGGCAGTTCTCCCCTCCAATAGGGTCACTACTACGTCAGAATCTACTTGATGGTAGTGAGCTTTTGGTTTGTAGCTTCACATACTCGTTGAATTGACACCTCCAGTTCAATACGTCCAAAATTAACTCACTTCCCCACACTATCTGCTCTACTTTTTCAGTTTCCTCTCTTTGCTACTGGAACTCCCAAGGGCCAAAGTCAACAAGATACCCTTCTCTCCTCTAAAGTCACTAATTCTTTAGCAGTTTCCTTCCCAAAGGCCCTCTTCATCGTTTTGCTAAGCGCTGGGCTACTAAAGGCTAGCAGTTTGAACCCACCCAATGGTACTGCAGTAATAAAGTATGACGATCTGCATGCTAAGATCACAGCCATATGAAAACAATATGGAGAACAGTTCTACTCTGAAACACAGAGTCCCCAAGAGTAGAATCGAATGCATGGCCATGGGTTTGTGTTTGTTCTAATTATCACCGATTTCTTTCTGACTTGCACTGTGCATTTCCAGCTCAGCCCCCACCATAAATCCTGCACGATTTCTGAATTCTCTCTTCAACCCACACAACTCTTAGCATGATGTTTTCACCTAGGTAGCAGGTGCTGAACCCTCATTGAAGAATGGCTGAAGAGGTAGCATGTTAGATTTAAATAGCTCTGGCAGCCTGGATCTGATTTTGTACTTCTTGCTTGTTTTACTTCTCACTGTCCAGTAAGTCTGAAAGTCACACGTCAGAGGAAAGACATAGTATTGAGCATCGCAAATGCGATTGTAGCGAGAAACTGCTGCAACCACTGCCTGTAGTTTTAATAAACAACATGCTTTGCTTAAAAAAAATAATAAAACAAAAAACCCCCAACTCCCTTAGAACTCAGCTTCCAGCTAAAGCTGTCCAAGATCCAGGTTTCCCACCCCCTTCAGGGGCCTGATGCGCGGCGGGGTGCAGCAGAGAGCCAGCTGGGCCGAGCAGCGGGGAGAGCGGGCTGAGGGAAGTCCCGGAAGTCACGGACCAGCGCGGGCGGCCGCCCCTGCGGGATGCTTTTGGGCCGCGGTCCCAACAATAACAGGCGCGCGGTCAGTGGGGGCCCCGCGAAGCCCGAGAGCGGGGCGGGGCCTGGGCTTGGGGAGGTGGGTGGGAAGCTTCCGAATTCGAATGGGATTGGACGAGAGAGAGGGGGGGCGGGGGCGCTCGAAGAGTGGGCCCGGAGCTAACGGGTCGACCGAAGAGGGAGCGTGTTGATTGGTTGACGTGGAGGGAGACGGTCCAACGGCGACTGAGGATTGGCTGTGCAGAACCTAGGAGGCGTGGCCTGCGCGCGCGAGAGGGAGCGCGAGGGAGCGCGAGGGAGCTGGCAGCCCGCCTGCCTGCTTGCGAGCCACAGCCGCTGGCAAGCCGTGGTCCGAGCGAGTGGACCGGGGCGGGAGGCACGTCCCCCCGCGCCGCCGAAGCAGCCCTCCCCGGCTCCACCTCCTCACTTCCTTCCCTCCCCTTCCCTGCACTCCGGCCTGGGGTC